AAATCACTGATAGAATTTGTCCACAGCAGGTCCCAAATGACTAGGCTTATTCTTGTGTAGGATCCATAACAAATGTATATTTAATGAACAATAAAACACCATCTCCACAAACTATGTACAAAGATTTTCGGGTCTTCTAAACAGCCTTACAAATTTATGGTCTGTTAGATCAAAGGATATCTTGTCCCAGGGATGTTTTGGAACCCCAAATTATTCCATAGCATCATCCTCATAGCTCAGTTATCATGTCATTATAATATTATTGAATTTCTCAACTTGCATTTTAAAACTAAATTAAGCTCGTTAAAAAGATCGGTACACACGTTCTTCAGATCCAAAACAAAAACAAATACGATTTGAGGTTGGAAAACCCGGGGAGATGCATTTTCTACTGGGTCGTATCAGTCGATCATTCCCGCTTTCTGGGGAGCGGCTCCCTCTCAAATTTTTTTTTCAAGAATACCGTTTCGGCCGACTGTCATAAAACCCCGCCCACTTATCTCGGCTGTTCTACTCCCTAGTCGTCAAGAATAGGTACACAGGCTATCAAAAGCGACGACTGCAGGTTGCAACTGTGAATACCAGGACTCTGTCAACAGAGTCCTGGTACAAACAACGAAATATTGCTGGAACTGGAAGAGGAGGGTGTTTGACCTCCTCTTCCAGTTACCATAAACTGGGACGTTGTAAGATTGCGCGAAGTTAGAAGAAAAGGAGAACAACAGCTAAGACTAGAGTCAGGACACCTGTTCTATCATAAAGGAGACAACGACTCGACGGATGGAGGAGAAGGTTTCATAATAAACAAGAATCACGCAGGCGCCGTTGTCCAGAGGGATAGTATAAGCTTAAGAGTGGCATTCCGTGTGCTGAGACAGGCTCTAAATGCAGACAAAAAGTTATTAAAGTCTATGCCCCAACAAGTACACATTCGGACGAGGAAGTGGAAAGCTGTTACAAGGACACTGCAGCAGGGATGACAAAAACACCAACTCATTACGACCTTATTAAAGGGGACATGAATGCAAAAATTGGATATCAATAAACTCCTTGACTTCCTGGCACACCATGAACTGTATGCGATGAACTCTTTTTTTAAAACAGTAAACAGAAGCGCTGGACGTGAGCAAGCCCAGATGGAATTACTCAAAAGAAAATCGATTATGTGATCACTGACAGGAAAAATATTGTGCAAGAAGTCAACGTACTGAATCAATTTTCATTCAGTACTGACCATCGAATAGTAAGAGCAAGAGTGATTATCAATATAAAACGAGTGAGGGCAAATATGATCATGAAACAAGCACCTCAAAGGTGGTCTCATGTTACAGATCTGAATAAATACCAGAAAGAGATAGACTTTGAACTGGAAAACTCTGGGATTGCGAGAAATGAGGAAGTAAATATCAAAGCTGCGAATAGCAAAATTAATAAAATTTTAAAAGACGCACAAAAACGGTGGTGCTCAAAACATAAGAATCCAAAGGATAAGCTTAGTGAAAACACAAAGAGTCTTATGAAACACAGAATATAACTAAATTTCAAGCATACCATGCAGACCAACTACGAATCCTAGATGATAAAGACATCTTAAAGGGCGCCAGGAGAGATATAAGAAACTTTTAATGTAAAGAAATAGAAAGTCATCTAAAACAACAAAAGTTTGAAAGTCTTTCGAAAAAAAATTTAAAGTTGGTTGAGGTCTTTTATACAGAACTATGCAAAAGAAAAAAACAAAATCCGCCTGAGAACTTGCCTCATGTACGAAACCAAGGTTCAGAGGATATTTCTGATATAACCCTGGGTGAGATAAGAGCGTTGCTGAAATAAATGAAAGACAATAAAGCCCCAGGCGAAGATGAAATTTTTATTGAGTCTATTAAGGCAGGAGGAAACATATTGCTTAAGAATATAAGTAGGCTTTTCAATGCATGTCTTCTGAAGGGAACAACGCCTTCTCAGTGGGATAGTGCTACAATAATCATAATGAAGGAACTGGGACACTTGGAGAGAGCGTTTACGATAAATGGGTTGAGTAATAAGGAGATAAGAAGAATACTCAGACCGAGAACTTTCTATCAAAATAACACTGAAGTGAACGAAACCGTGGAGAAGCAGAGATACAAAAA